CCTCTCTCTCACTCACTCTTTCCCTCTCTCTCACTCACTCTTTCCCTCTCTCTATCTATCTATCTATCTATCTATCTCTCTATCTATCTTGCACATGTAATCTTTGTTACATTCCCTCCCACTCTCCTCCCACTATTATTGTAATTAGAATTTTGTGAGCCTCTTCTACTACAGTGTAAGCAGTAGTAAAGGGTTTGCAGTGATGGTAGAGTTATTAGTGTAATGGTGAAGGGTTATGTAAACCTAGTGAATCTTTTGTTTGTAGGTAAAGGTGCAAGCAAGGGGGAATCCACAGGCCGCGTACAAAGTTTGAAGGTCACTCTAGGGCCCTCAGGAAGTAAAGTATCCTCAGGTAAGAGTAAGCTGCATGATTTTCTGTTTGTATTTAGAAATGGCTTCCATATTCTGTATATGCAATGTTTTTCACCCCTTTTCATATTATGAAATAAATGTTAAAAGTGTATGTTGATATTTGTGCTTGTATATATGGGAAATGAAAGTATTTCCAGTTTTGTGAAGTAGTTTTCTCTGTAGACTGATTGTATATTAGCCATCAGGTTCTTCTCAACATCAGCATTCAAATTTGAGTTGAACGTGATGTTTTGCAATCTATACTGTGTTTAATCTTTGTTTGTCTTTGTTATTCGTCCAAAGCCATGCTTTTGATTTTTTAGTATACAGAGCAGTATCCTGTGTTGTGATAAACAACCTATTTATGTTTTCTCTTTTTTTTTTCAGTGTCAGAAGACATAAAGGTTGATGATGCGGAGAAGTCAGAGCTGAAAAATATTTTAATTAGTAATAGTGTTCCTAAATCCCAGCCCCAGCAAAATAAGCAGCAGCAAATACAGCAACAAAAACAATACTTACAAGAACAACAGAAGCAGTTGCAGGAACAGAAGCAACTTTTAGAGCAGCAAAAACTTCAGAAGCAACAGAAACAGCAGCAAGAACAACAGAAACAACAGCAATTGGAGCAGCAGAAACAAAAGCAGAAACAACAGGAGGAACAGCAACAAAAACAACAGCAACAACAACAGCAGCAACAACAACAACAACAACAACAGCAGCAGCAGCAGCAGCAGCAACAACAACAACAGCAACAGTTGCAGCAGCAGCAACAACAACAACAACAACAACAACAACACGCACATCACCAGCATCACCACCACCACCACCATCAGGAACAGACTTCTCATCCTCTCCCACCAACCTCAGAAGAACAGCATATCCACCATCAACAGCAACAGCATTTACAACTACAGGAACAGTTAGAACAATTACAACATCACCATTTACAGCAGCAGTTACATCACCATCACCAACAGCAACATGCCATGAGTCATAATATGTCAGGAGGTTTGCCACATCCATCAGTTTCAAATGGCTTCTCAGCTGACATGCCACTGGGTATGGCCCAGTCATTGGTGCATAGCTTAGCAGGGATTGGTGCAATCACAGGCATGCCTGGCCTGTCCTCCCTTGGCCCCTCTGGGCTAGAGGGTCTGGGTGCTGCTGCAGGGTAGCATGTTGCCAGGGCTTGTTGATGCTGCATCAACGAATAGTGCCAATATTTCTGTTGCTGCTGCCTCCAATGCAGTACCAACACATAACCCAATGATGGCAACTCATGACACTCATCAAGAAATGCCATCACATCTGCCAGAGACTAGCCTAGCAGACTTAAAAGCAGCAGGCTTAGATACTAGTTTAAGTTATTATTCGTCAATTCCACAAACGCAAAGCGACACATCTATCATGCGCAAACAGTCAGAGGAGGAGCTCAACCCAGAGGCCCAGGCCCTACAGCGGCATCATGCAGAGGCTTCAGCACTGGCAAGTTACCTGGCTGCTCAGGATAAGAAGCCCCCTTCCTCCGCCCCAGAAACCCCAAAGTCATCTGGAGGAAGCTCTTTCAGCAAGCCCAAGCCAACACCCAAGAACCTCAGTTCATGGTCATCCCTAGCGCAGAGTGCCGTCCCTTCACCAACAGCCTCGACCTCTTTGAAAACCTCAGCCAGTGATTCCTTTGCCCAGTTCAAGAGAGTTGCCAAGGAGAAAGAAGCAAGGGTATGTGCTTCTCTGTAACAAATGTGATTAATGTTAAATATTTGCATTGTCTTTTGCAGTTGTGTGTATCTTTTGATGTATGTGATCACCCCCCCCCCCCCCTTCTCTCTCCTCTCTCTCTCTCTCTCTCTCTCTCTCTCTCTCTCTCTCTCTCTCTCTCTCTCTCTCTCTCTCTCTCTCTCTCTCTCTCTCTCTCTCTCTCTCTTTCTCTCTCTCTCTCTCTCTCTCTCTCTCTCTCTCTCTCTCTCTCTCTCTCTCTCTCTCTCTCTCTCTCTCTCTCTCTCTCTCTCTCTCTCTCTCTCTCTCTCTCTCTCTCTCTCTCTCTCCACCACTCCCTTATCTTCCTCTTCCTCCTGCCTCTTTCCCTCCCTTCCTCTCCTCTCCTCTCCCCTTCCCTTCTCTTCTCTCTCCTCTCTCTCTCTCTTTCCTCCCATATTCCCTCCCTCCCTCCATTCCTAATATGAGCAATAATGTGATAGAATAGAAGAGAAGTTGCATAAATGGATGGATTTATCCATTTGATTTCACCCATTCATTGCACCTAAAATAAATTGCCTTCCAATAGCAACGTCAGATCATTGAGCAGCAAGAGCAGAGAAGGCAGCAGAAGGAGCAAGTTGAGAAGGAACGTGCAAGACAAGAAGCAGAGAGAGAGCGTGCACGGTTAGAGGAGGAAGCTTTGGACAGGGCAATGGAACAAGCTAAAGAAATTCGGGCCACTCAAGAAGTTCAAAGGTATGTCAAGGATATTTATAAGTGGGGTATATATATAACAGCACTTGGATGCCTAAAGTTGCAATATACACAGAACCATACATAAGTATACATAAGATGTCTTTATTATAAATTTACCCTATTGTGAATCTCCTCCCAGACGAGAACCGGTTGCCATACGGGAGCGGCCACCCTCAAGTGCAAAAGTGGCTACCCCAATGACAGCCTCAACTTCGCCACACCCCCAGCTGGCAACGCCTGCAGGACCTCCCAGCTCACATCCCCCTGCCACTCCAACCTCTTCCATAGACAATGCAAAGCAAAGTGACCGCGACAGACAAAAACTAAGAGAACAAGAACGAAGACGGAGGGAAGCTGTAAGTGGATTTTCATCTTTGACAAGTTTCTTTTTCTTTTCTTCTTCATCTTATCTTCTAAATATGTTAGTGAGTGTTACTTTTGAGTGATAAGTTAACCTTTGTTACTCTTCATATGGCAGTAGATCATAAAAGAGATCTTCAGTGGCTATTAAAAAAAAAAAAAAAAAAATGTGTTCTTTTTGCTTTATTTATGTTACTTTTATAATAGGATGAATGTACTACTTGTTTTATTTGCTTGATATAGTATCATTGTATGTTTTTCTCATATTTCAGATGGCGGGTCAGATAGACATGAATCGCCAAAGTGACTTGATGGCTGCGTTTGAAGAACAGTGTGGAAAATAATGTATAAGAATTACCAAAAATATTTTATTAATGTCGGCTCTGTTCCTTGTACACAACTCAACTCAGATATCACCTAAGTCCTTTTATTTGACATGTTTTGTACATATAACTATAGCTGTGTTTATATTTATTATAGTTCAGTGAGAGTTCTTGTTGTTGCTGTACATTTGTGTATGAAACTTATGGATGTAAATGTTACATTTTGGCTGTGAAATCGTCCCTTGCCAATGCATGTTGTCGGCAAGTTGTACAACTGTTGGCCCTGCTGCTTGATGGCACTCTGTTCATTTGGCCAGCTCCGAATTAAGAGAAAAAATTATTCTATTCTACTGAGAACTAAATAACTGTCATGACTGAGCATAAGTGCAAGTGTGGCACATCAGTGGTGCCCTATCTGTAGTGTTACAAGTGTCAACTGAGCTGATCTGTTAAGATTAGCACAAGTCCTAACTTCCAGTTGTCATGCATCAGACCACAGCAGAGGGTTCTGTTTGTCCACAGTAGAAGATACTTTTTCTTTTGGTTGATGACACCTCTGTTAATTCCACCAATTTTACAATAATTTGATGACAGTAGAAGTTTATAGTTGGGTATTTAAGACTTAACCTTTTTATGGTGTACTCTTAAATAACTCAAGCGTTTAGAAATTAATTTTTCAGAAGTGACCAAGAGTTTTCAGTGAAAAAACTGGTTGAAGAAAAATAGAAAAAAAAAAATGTTGGCATTAACTCTTGGAAATGTGTAATATAGTTATGCAGTGGAATAGCAGGAGCATCTCAAGTAGCAATATACTTGCTCTGCTGGTGCTTCAAAGCAGAAACAGGACATTATAAATGCTCGCCATGTGAATATTGTTTCTCTATTGGAATTGCTCTTCAGATTCTCAGTTTTCAGCTGGGATTGCTACTCAGCTGTTTACAACAGGTATGGCTTGTTTGCCATACATTAAACTTTCCATATTGACCAACGATTTTCAACTAAGGAAATGTTAATCAATATTAGGTTTAGAATCTTTTTTTAATAAAAAGTGTTAAAAGTATTTGGCCGATAGGCCTGTAGACCATCAGTTTGGGTTTCTTTGTTTATATAACCTTCAGTGATATTCCCATTATGTATTTGGCAACTTTTTTATAAGATATACATATATATATTAGTTATCTTTCCTTGGAAACATTGCATTGAAAAAGAGAATATTTTGTGAACTCAATCTCAGAAAATCCATTATGTTCTTTAACACAACAGGATAAGTTGCATAGTTTTCCAGCAGCAGATATTATTTCTCAGTATGAACACCAACGCCAATGAATATTCAGATATACTGCTGACTCAAAGGGCAGTGATCTGTACCCTGTGAAAAGGATGAAACTTTTTTAGTGAAGCAGTCAGCAGTTCTCCACATGAGAAAGGTTGTGCTAAGTCGTCGACAGTTCCCTAGTTGGCGACATTGTACATAGCTGTATAGTTTGTGATTCTACTATTTAATAAAGACTTGTGAAGACCAGGACTGACTTGCTGGTGGTAGTTAACTGCCATGTGCGTAATACAGATTTCTTTTCTGCATTCCATATTTAAATAATGCATAAAGATGACCATGATTTTCTTGTGTATTTTGTAAAGATCTACACTTGTGTTTGTATTGATATTGACATAGTGTACGTATGGGGATCTTTTAAGAACAGTTGGAACTGACTGTCATTTAGCTTTTGCCAAGAACAGTTTTTGCACCTTTTTGCTCTGGCTGTTATTCATTTACAGTGTTAAGGGAAGGTTGATATAGGTAGAGATTCATTTTGTATATTTTTCATGGTTATTTATTTGTTTATCATATTTCTAATGCCTGGTCTCATTACCCATGCAAGCATTACCATGATTGCAATCATACTATTTGATGTATATTTTTTTATTCTTTCTTTTTTATTCCTTCATTGTTAAAATCATCATCATCATCATCATCTCAGTATTACCACCAATCATTTCCGTAATCCTCTTATTCCTTCTTTCTTCTTCTCCTTCTTTATATACATATATAAATTATTAAAAACACCATCAGAGTATCTATCCTTAACTGAAATTGTAAATTGTCATGCTGTCATACTGTATAGTTTCCTGGAATAAAGATTTTCATAAGAAAATGAAACAAAATAAATGCTTTTAAAAGTTACTGTATCAGACATGGAGTCAGTTGCCAGTTCAGTTTCAGCACTTGGGTAAGGACAATTTTGAATTGTATTGTTTAAAATGAAGTGAAATCTTGGAAGCTGCAAATAGAGGAATACATTTTCTGTAAATAATTGTCACTGTGCTGGGCTTCTAAATAGCACTTCAATATTTATGATTTCTTTTTTGTAAATACAGTAACTATAAGGAAATGAACCTAGTAGACATGTAAATACCGAACTCAAAGGCTATGTTACCTTCAGAAATAAAATGGAAGGGAGTATA